CAATCTAATAGCACTTCTGGGTAGAGGGTCCGTGCTGTATGTTTGCCAATACGAGTCCCCTGGCCGCCCCTGTCTTGCTTCGTACAGAACTCGCGCTTAATCTCATCTTGAAGAGCCCGAGTTAGCCTAATGAGATTATTCATCAGTGAGTTTGGAAAGCTCAACCTCGAGCAAACATGAGCTGCCAGTGTCTGTCCGTTGCAAAAGGTGGACCCCCCTTTTCCAGCATACAAAAGGCGAGCTGGAAGACGGTGTCAAACGAGTTCAAGTTGTCAACGTCATTGGTGGGACTTTTCGACTTGCGGGAGGAATGGCGTGAAGACACGTGCGATACAAGCGCCCGGTGCAGGTCCCGGGAGCTTTGAGAAGTGCCGATGCCCATCTCGTCGATTGCAGCAGACATGCCGATCAGGATATGTAGGGCGTCCGTAACCATTTGGGCGTCTCGTCCATCGGATGCGAAGAGAGTGTGTGCAATTTTTTTGGACCATCGGCAAACCTCGCTGTATATCGCGTCGACCTGGGTGCCAACCGTTTACAGCGTGTTGTCAACACGGGTCTAGTAGATTACGGTCCTAACTCGCCTGGCGGCGGAAGAAAATGGGTATTTTGTATTGGCCGCTCCATTGTTCAAATCCTCCTCGTCCGAGTTCTTCATGCATCGCTCGTTGGTTGCGGGTGTTTCAGCAAGCGATCCGGTGGGGTCGTCATCCAGCTCCCGTTTTATTGAAGGCATCTCAGATTATGCCATGCCTGAGGTTTTGATGGGTGTCGGGATTGTGGTTGATATTAGCGACGAGAGGCGGTTCAATGTGGGTGGAAGTTGGAACCTGGACCAGACGCGCTACAACGGAAAAGGATCAGTTTTCAATTCACGTGTCGATTTTTCACGACTCGCTGATTGGCATTTGCTGAGAAAGAGAAACTTCGATGTGACGCGGAAACACACCGGAAGGCCTGCCCAGCCGACCTTATCGACGGGACTTTACAGGGGCGGATAGCGCTCTTACCCTCCCCACTAGCTGTTTCCAAAGTCCTTTTCCTTTCTTTGGTGGAGAGAAATGCTGAGGGAGCAGGCAAAAAGGCGACGCAACGACTGTCGGGGTTTTGGCGGGTTGTCGATTGCGCCGGGCGGGCCGCATGCCGCATCCTCAGTGACACGGAGCTGCCGTCGGGCGTTAGTCAGGCGAATTGGCTGCCCTAAATCCGCTATCCCCGACGAATTGAAGGTTTTAGGCAGGCGTCTGCTGTTTCATTTCAATCTTGGACGGCTTATTAAACCAGGCTCTTTTCCTCGCTGCTGCGCAAGTTTGAGCATCCAGTGCCTCCCTCGATTCCTCTCAGGTCCCACAACCACAGACCAACAAAGTTACAAGATGCATCTCATCCTCACAGGGGCCACGGGCCTTGTCGGCAGCGCCACGCTCGACGCCATGATCAAAATGAAGGACATCACCAAGATTTCCGTCATCAGCAGGCGACCCGTCAAGATGGCCGACGACGCCAAAGACCCGCGAGTCAACGTCATTCTCCACAGCGACTTCAACACGTACGACGACGAGCTTCTCGAGAAGCTCAAGGACGCATCCGGCTGCGTCTGGGCGCTGGGCATCAGCCAAAACGCCGTGAGCAAGGAGTAAGCCCCTCCCCCCCCCCCCTTTTTCCACAGCAACCTCCCAGCACCCCCTACTTACCGCGACCGCAGGGAGTACGTCAAAATCACCAAGGACTACGCCCTCGCCGCCGCCACCGCCTTCCAGACGCTGCCCGCCAAGAACAAAACCACCGCCGCACCCTTCCGCTTCGTCTACGTCTCGGGCGAGGGCTCGACCTTGGCCCCGGGCCGCTTCACGCCCATCTTCGGGCGCGTCAAGGGCGAGACGGAGCTGGCCCTGGCCGCCATGCGCCGGGTGAACCCGCTGCTGCAGGCCAACACGGTGCGCCCGGCCTTTGTCGACTGGGCCGGCAACCAAGCCGTCGCGCCCTACATCCCCGCCCAGGGCGCCGGCCGTTCCCTCCTGGCCAGCGCCCTCCGCCTGCCCATGCGCGCCGGCTACATGACGGGCCTCTGGAGCCCGACCGAGCCGCTGGGACGGTATCTGGCCGAGATGGCGGCGGGCAAGTTTGACGAGGCGGGCATGGTCGGGCCGGGCTTTGAGAAGCTGGAGGGTGGGTTTACTGTTGTCAACAATCCGGGCTTTAGGAAGCTAGCGGGGTTGGATAAGTGATTGTATGTGGTGGATATCTGTATTATACCCTTTTGCTTTGATTGTCCAATACCTACCTATTTATGTTGTATTATTTTACGCGCCACCCAGGAGTCACTGGCCATCTCAGACCATGTACCCAAAATGTGTACTATCAGCTTGTGATTAGCGTTTGTGGGGTTGAAGTGGGGTCCTGCCCTGGTGCACCTCCAGTTATCCTCGCCGTGGTCTTGTGTGCACGTTGCTAGCAATACATAAAGCTTTATAATAGATGAGCTCAGAGAATTAGTCAAGAACGAGGCGACACCAAATCGAAGCACATATTATGAAGAGACCTAACCACAGCAGACCAAATCATATATTCAGAATAACAACTGTCTGCATCGCCCTTAGCTCCTTACACACCAGCAAAACCTACGGCCATCATGTAGCAAATGTTCCTTGCCATGTGGGTAGCCCTTGGTGTAAACCCATACTTGCGCTTGAATTGTTTTGTCCAATGGCCGCATTCAGCTACCACGAACATGGTGGTGATGTTCGTGCTAATTTCTTATCCTAGGATGCCAGTGTTTCAGATCAGGTCCTCCATACCATCACAAGTCCATGCTTAAATTCGCGCTGAGTAAGAAATCCTCCTGGTTTTTGTCGTCGTGCTCAGGCTTTTCCGAGGTACCCAGCAAATCAAACAGGGAGGATAAGGCTTGCATCTCATCATTGCTAGGGTTGAGGGCTCCAAAGTCTTGAGTATCGGAGTCTCTGATTATGAGGTCTCCATGGTTCTCAATGCGGGCGCACGTACATGATTCGAGCCCTTGATGAAGACGACCTTGGACTTATCGTTCTCAATGCGGGTGCCTTGTAGATTGGGGTGCAGGGGATACAAATCCTTGTGGTTCTCCATGCGAGCGCCCCGTAGATCACGGGCGGACCGGATGTGAAGGGTCTTGTTGTTCTCAAGGCGGGCATTGCGTAGGCTGCTGTACACGATCCTGAGGTGGCCCTTGTTCTTGATGCGGGCGTTTTGTAAGTCGGCGTTGATGGTGTGAGACTCCCGGCATTCTCGACACGGGAATCACATACGGTGGATTCGCAGATAATGAATTTCTTATCGTTCTCAAATGCGCGCGTTCTGTAGGTTGGTGCTGGTAATGGCGAGCTCCCTGTCGTTCTCGATGCAGGCCCTTTGTAGGTTTGAGTTGCTGATATGCAGGATTCCGTCGTTCTCAATACGGGTGTCGCTCAGATCGCAAGAGGTAAGAAAAAGTTTCCCATTGTTGATGATGCCAAAGCCTCCCAGATTGCAGTCGTTGAGTTTGTGGGTCGTGCCGCAGTCGATGCGCAGGGTGATGCGTTTGGGCTTGGGGCGCGTTGCAGACTCGGAAGACATGTCGGCCATAGCAACTGTGAGTTTGCGAATCTTGCTTTGCCAGAGTTAGGTCCAATGCTCGAATGTTCGATGCTCCGTGTCTTGCGGCGGAGAAGAAGTTCGTGTCTTCTTGGCCATCCCCAGTTCATTCACTCCATTCACTAATGTTGTGAAGCTGGGATGGAAATCTGTCCAAGTGGGGCACTGCCATCTTTCCTCTTTTGAAAGACAGATGTCATGCACAGGCCATCTCCATTCCGAGCCACCTGCCTCGTTGCTTCCAATGCAACACACTCCCTCAGGTCTTCAATCTCTTCTCTAGCGAGAGACCAAGACCCTAACTGCTGTGGTTTCTGCTGTTGTTTGACAAGCAGCCCAAGTCCAACAGAGAGTTTCGCTTACAGGGAGGGACATTACCATACTCTTTGCCCGGGTCACCTTTGTCTGGACTTGCTCGTCATCGCCCGATGATTTTTCCCCGACGAGGCCACGGTTGCCATGGCAATCACCAAGCTCTAGTTTTGCAGCGCTTTGCACCAAGCGCTTTGCCCAGAGCTCGGCTCTTCCCAACATACCCCCATCGACATGGCGCTAATCATCTAGTCTCTAGCAGCATCAAACACAACCACTTGACGAGCAAAGAATATTCACCTGGCGGCAAAAAGAGGTCCTACCAGGATTCGAACCTGGGTCACGGGAAGCTTGAGGCTATTCAGAATCCCATGTGATAACCAACTACACTATAGGACCATGTGGTGTTGTTGGGGGGTGGAGCGGTAATTGCTCTGCTATGGAGCCGCGTGCTGTTTCGGGGACACGAACCCCGCTGCGCCTACCGGTGCCGGAGACACAAGTGGACTCTACGTGAGATAGCTCTATCGGGTAAGGCGGGACGGGAATATGGAGAGGAAAGGCAGGCAAAAAGAGAGTCTCTCTGAGAGCAAAAAGACGACCCACCCAGGTCTCGAACCTGGAACCTCCTGATTCGTAGTCAGACGCTCTACCATTGAGCCAGCAGGCCTTATCAGATGCTGAGATGCTTGATGGACAAGTGCGCGATTTTTAGGTTCATGACGGGTGCTGTTGGAGTGTTGGAGATGGTGTGGTGGAGAAGAGCGGGGAAGAAGAGTCTTTTTAGGGGCTGGATGTGGTCGATTGCCTCCGAGTCCTTGCTGCTTGCCCCGGGTGCATATCGACCACGCAAATACACCTTTTCCTTTTTTTCTTTGAAGATACTAACAATCAATATCGCCAGATAGTAGGATCGTTAACCTTGAATATGTGCGGCTCAAGGGAAAGACGATGTAGGAACGCCGGCTTCAACACAGCACGCAACAAAAAATATGAAAATCCCGATAACAGGCAGCAACAACACACAAAAAGAACACCCAGATACAACCCGAGGCTCAGCAGTGGTAAGATTGGTAAGGTCGTACCCGGGTTCGAGCCGGGTTCTTTAGAAGGTCTGGGGAACCGTGAGGCCACCAAAATCCAAAGTGATAGCCGCTACACTATACAACCTGGCTTGTTGGTGCTTGTGGGGAGCTCAGAACGCCTTGATGGGGTCAGGTTGGGCGTCCATCTGGCTGCAGGTGATGAGATCCGCTCCCATCCAAGAGCCTAAAAACCGAGTGGGGCTGGCATCGTTGCACAACAGGAGCCCAGTTGCAGCGAGAATCGAGGCCGGTGCAGATCACCACCCAGTGACACATGCAAGCATCCAGTTGGATCCATCGGGCCGGTTGCTGGGGACACCGAGCCCTGGTTGAACGTCGTCTCTTGGCTACCCTATCTCGAGGGAGTAAACTCTATCTCGCTGTCAGCCATGATCTTCTCTCGATATACCATATCTAGTACTGGATGTAGTGGAATTGGATAATACTGATTCGGAGTTGCATTGGCCGGGGGCTGGCTTCTAGGCTCCTCCAAAACAAGAAAAACACCTCGAGCAAGAACAAAAAAAAGCAGGCGGTCGTACGGATTACGTGGTGCGGGTTTTGCAGCACCGTAGATCCCGCTGTGCCACTGGCCCTTGTAAGAAACGTCTTGTAGCCGAGTTCGTGGGACATTGAGGGACCACAGCGATTTGTGTCATGAAGCGAAACGACGCCGTTGGACGCTCCTTATAAAGGTGGCGTCGAGGCCTCACCTCAGATGGTGGCCACGAACAGCATGTTACTCCAGCTGTCTTACCTCGAAACCGGCGAACGTCGAGGAGAGCGCTATATAACGGCAAGAGTCCCATGGCAAAACACTGCGATCCTCCTCTGTCTCTCCAACATTAGCAAGACTTCCGTTACGTGTACACAATTCCGGGGGCCATCCTCCTAGCACCATCACCATGCTCACCCAAACCCTCCTCCTCTCCCTCCTCACCCCCGCCTCGGCCCGCATCATCCCCATCATCGCCAAGGACATGGCCTTCGACCCCGAGATCGCCAACGCCGCCGTCGGCGACATCCTCGAGTTCCACTTCCTGCCGCGCAACCACAGCGTCGCCATGGGCGACTTCGATAGCCCCTGCCTGCCCGCCAAGACGGGCGGCTTCTTCTCCGGCTTCCTCCCCGCCGCCACAGGCGAAAACGTACCTCCCCCTCCCCCCACTTCCCGTCGCTCACTAGTAACATGCCCAGGCCCAGACCTTCCGCGTCACTATCAACGACACCTCCCCCCACGTCTTCTACTGCACCCAAGGCGACCACTGTGCCCGCGGCATGGTCGGCGTGGTCAACGCCGACTCGGGCATGCTGGAGAAGTACCGCTGCGGCGCGTCGAGTACTGCCGAGGCGGTGTCGCCGGCGGTCGTCTTTGGCGGGGTGTTGGCGCCGAACGGGGCGGCGACGACGTCGTGCGAGACGAGTACGACCAGCCCCGCGGCTACGAAGTCTGCGGCGGGGCTGGTCTCGCCGCTGGGAGGGGCGTCGTCGGTTTCGAGTGCTGTCAGCAGCAGCTCAGGTGGTGCTGCGAGGAGCTCGAGTGGGTCGGCGAGTTCGTCGGCGACGAGTTCCGGGGCGAGTGCGATCCCGACGGCGAATGCGAGTGGTGGGAGTTCGGGCCATGGTCATCATAGCGTTGGGGTGGCGGTTGCTGGGTTCGTGGCCGTTGGGATACTGGGGGTTGTGTTCTGATTCGGGGATGGAGGCTAGATGTCAGGGGATGAAAAGGGGTAAGGTGAGCCTTGATGGGTTGATTGAGCTTGGGGGTTTCCTTGATTGCAGCAACTAATTGGCTACTTAATAAAAGATACACACTCCCTAATGCATTGCTACATTTATCCACGCCGTTTTCTTGGGTTTGATGTTGCAATTGAAGCCCACCGAGAAAACCGGAATTTCTGGTGTTTTACTTGAATTTGCTCCCTCAGATTCCTCGGGCCTTCGATTTTTTGCTGCTATATTTTCCCGCTCGGGTTATCAAGTTGTTGTAAGCAGCTAGAATATTTTTCTCCACGTTTTTGGCGTGTGTGTGGTTGTGTCGTGACGGGTAATTTTAAACGTCGTAAACACCCTTCAAATATGACCTCAAACCCAGGCAACAACCCCCTATCATATCCGCCCCGCAGACCCGAGTGGCGAAGAACGGACAGCGCCTCGATTGTTTTGACTTGGGGGCACTGCACCTCCAAGCTATTGACGGTCTGAGAGACAGCGGCTAGGTATCTTGGTAGCAGAAGCATCACTATATACCTGCAGGAGGCATGATGCGAGCGCCTCAGGATCCGTTCTCTGCCTGCCGCTATGAGATGGCTCCTGGTTGGATGCATAGTGATTGCAGTCCAAAATTTCATAATGGCTGGAGGTTTACTCCTCAAGAGAATGGTACGGCATTGGCGTTCTACCTGGCCCACAAGAGGGGTGATCCGATAGCACGGGAGTGGCAGCGGGTAGGGGCAAAGCCAGAGATGCGAGAGCGATAGGCCACATCATTTTGGCGATTGGGGCGGTCCTTGGTGGACATGACCCAAAGGGGGGAAGGGGGAAGGACTAGCCACGATACCATGACTCGGCTTGAGTGTATTACTCAAGGGAGGCAAACATCTCCCTAACCTCATCAGATAACAAGACAAACTCTCATTATTCAAGGATTCTCCCAATTTATCGCTACAAACAGGGGTATAAGTCCAGTCTGGAACTGATGTTGACCAAGCTACCCAACGCAAAGCCTAATCCTCATGGTATCTTTGACAATCTGACAAACAGCCGCAAACATGGCTGGGATATCACTGACGTGCTAAAGTGAAACCACAGACACCTCCCAAATGCCTCAACGCTTTCGGCGAAAGCCAGCTCAAAACATATCGTCGTCATCCGCGTTCGCATCCCACCGCTTCGTCGCTAGCTTTCGGACTTTCTTGGGACTCGTGCTGCCGCTCGAGTTCCGGAGCGAAGCGCTGTCGTCGCTCACGCGGAGGTTCTCGAGTTTACGGCGTAGGCCACTTTCATCGGGGTTGAAGTTCAATTTGCGGCCAGGCCTCGGGCTTCCGGGATCGCCACCCTTGGTCCTAGACCCGGTACTGGCATCGCTTCCGCGCTCCTGCAGGGGCATCCTCTTGCTTGGACTCATGCATGCCAGCTCCCGCCGGAGGATGTCGTTGTCGCGCCGGAGTCTCTCGTTTTCCTCGTTGATGTCCTCCATCAGCACATTCTCCTTGTTTTCGCTCTCCGACTCGTTGTCGAGCATGTTCTCGTCGTTAGGCGCCGTGGCTGTGGCGGCCATGCTCCGCTCAAAGACCTCAATCTTACGCCCCCAGTGTTCCTCGCCACGCTCCACTTCGACTTGCATGTTCGCGCGCCACCTGGACATTTCGATCTCGAGGCGGCGCTCAAACTCGGTAACACAGTCCTCGCGGATTGCCTGCTCCAGCTCCAACATGCGGTCTTCCATCGAGAGAAGGTGCGACTCGGCTTCCTGCCGGGCCGACCGTTCCGAATCAAAGGCCTGACGAAGGTAGTCCAGCTCCTCCGAGAGACGTGCAATTTCAAGGGCAGCAACTTCCATTGTCGTACGGTGGTCGTCGCTTCCAGGGCTGCTCCCCGGGGAGAAGGTTCGCTGAACATTGGAGGAAAACGGCTGCGAGTATGGCCCTGCTGCCGAGCCGGGAGAGAAAAACGGCCGGTTGTGGAGTGGTGGAGAGCCCACGGGGCTGGAGCATTGCTGTGGCGCCGGAATCGAGACGGGAGCCGTGTGAATTGTCTGGGTTATACTGGGGATGCGTGGCACTGTGACTTCTCTGGCCAAGGCACTGTAGCGCAGGATTTGCGACGTTGCGTTGTAGTCGCCCTGGGGGTCTGCCGTCACGATCATGACTGCCTTTTGCGGGTTTCGGTGCTTCGCGGTTGAGTATGACGAGGCAGACGGAAACGAGTTGGAGAAGAGCAGCTCGGTCAGCTTGCATTGGCGGAAGGGGACCAGGTTGGGCTGTTCGCGTCAGTGAGGTTCTCGCGAAATAGCCATGGATCCTACCTTGTCCTTGTTGGCTGCGTCGCTCTGCATCTGCAAGCACTGCCCGAGATACATTAAACTTTCGTTAATCTTGCCCGCCTCTGCGAGGGTGGTGCCCGCCGTCTTGGCGTCCCTTGCCCGCTCGCTCCCGGCCAGATCAACAATCGTGAGGGTGCTGCCGGTCCAGGGGTTTTCGACACCATTCCTTCGGTTACCCTTGGCGCGCTTCTTCACTTCAACGCAGAAGAAACCGTGACTCCTCGAACTCACACTGTTGCTGCCGGTTCCGGCCACTCTTCGCTCGTGCAGGCCTGCCTCCAGGACCATCAAAGCCTGATGCAAGCTGCCACACAGAACCTTGCGCAGTCCAGCGACAACTTTGCGGTCCGGAGACGTTTCCGTAGACTTGAAGAGCAGCGGCCGTCGGCGATACTCCTTTGTCGTGGCGGATTTGATCGGAGGGGTTAGGAGATCGAAGATGCGATCGTTGTAAACCTCGTACATAGACACGACTACGGCATACTCGGACGACGGATCGGACGACACGGATAGCGAGCTGACGTCGGGCTGTTGGGGGAACGCGGAAGGGCGGTGGAGGCGGCGAGCAGGTGTAGCCGCCGGTCCGTATGACTCGCCCTGTAGTTTATCTGGTTTAGTGGTTGCCTTTTTACGGATAGAAGTAGTACTGTTCATGAAATGCTTGGTTGGGGACGCCCTCCCTCCCTGCCCACGCTGGTGTCGACCTCGAGACAGACGATCGATAGGGGATGCATCGCCATGGGATACGGCAACGCGACCCCTACCAACATGGTCTTCATACCAACGAGAAGAGGGCGGGGGGGATGGCATGACAGAGTCTTCCCGACACACAACCCGAAGACTTTTCGGACTGGCGGGTTCCCCCACTGCCATGTTGTACGACGAAGGAAAGCGGGGTTGGATAGGAGAAACTCCTTCATCGCTGTCCCTGAATATATATGAAGAAGAATGGGAAGACCGTACGATCATAGGGGTTGGGGCTCTCGAGCTGGCTCGCAGCGGGGCTGCCGGGTCAGCATACACGCTGTCGAGGAATGCCG